CAGATTGGTCAGGCACGACTTGCCCTTTGTGAATCCATGCTGACTATTCCTAATCACTTTCCTCTCTTCCAAGTACCTCAAAATGGATTCCTTAAGGATCCCTTCCATGATTTTTTCAGGAACCGAGGTAAGACTGACCGGCCTATAGTTCCCTGGATCATCCTTCTTCCCTTTTTTGAAGATGGGCACTACATTTGCCTTTTTCCAATCATCTGGGATCTCTCCCGATCTCCACGACTTTTCAGAGATAATGGCCAAAGGCTCCTCAATGACATTTGCTAACTCCTTCAGTACCCTCGGATGCATTAAGTCCGGACCCATGGATTTGTGTACATTTAGCTTTTCTAAATAGTTCCTAACCTGTTCTTTACCCACTAAGGGCTGCCCATCTTCATCCCATCTTGTGTCACTTAGCGCATTAGTCCGGGATCAGTGTCTAGACTGGTGCTTTTTTCCAACAAAGCTCCGTGCGGGGAAAAAAGCGGCAGCCATTTTTATGCTAATGAAGCGAGGGAGATTTAAATCCCCGCTTCATTAGCAATTGCGATACGTCTAATTTACATCCCTTTTGTGATAAAGGGATGTAGTCTAGATTTAGCCGAAGTGAGTGCGAAAAAACATGGGTACAGTGGAAGAAAGGAAATGAAACTGGATTCATGCTTGCTGGAGGCAGACCCCAATAAACATACAATTGTTTGCATCTCTGGAATTCAGGAATTGCTGTTCTCTGGTCATGTGAGAAGGACCAGGAATGTGGGAGGGTGCAGGGATCAACCCTCAAACCATGGTGTATGGGAGCTCAAGGATCAACCCTCAAACCATGGTGTATGGGAGCTATGTGGAGGGGGGTAGAAGGAAGCAAGAGGATGGGCTGTGAAGTGGCTTAAGAGTCCATTGTCTTGCTTTGGGGGTTCTGACACAGGTGTGGATGTGAAAGCTTGTGGGTAAATGTATCAGGTGGGAATTTAATCATTGTCATTCGGGGACATCATTTACCAGCACAGCACCACAAATTCCCCATTTGCAGCCTGCATGTCCAACACTTTGGTTCACTGAACACAACAGTTAAAGCTTTTAAATGAGGAAACCCGGAACAAGTCTGCCCCTGCCTGCTTGGAGAGCCCTGTGCCTAACATCCGAGATGACCCTGCTGGGCAAAGCTACTGTGCTGCGTGGCAAAGGAAGGCGGTGAGTGCTACTTGAAATGTAGCCCCCAGCGCTGTCACTTCTCTGGCCACCACAAGATTCTGCGACCCACAGCTCAGGGCATTAGGAAGGAGTCACCTGTCTTACAGCAAGAGGTGCAGGCGCTTTTCTGTGAACCATGGCTCGTGGAGAAAAAGAAGTGTCAGAAATGTAATCATCCCATTGAGAAAGGATGGTTGAGACAAAGAGCATGCTGTGCCCCTTTCTAGAGAAGAAGGGGTGGTTAACCCACTTTACCCAATGTTGCTAGAGTTGGTAGCCCTGAGAGCAAATAAGCAGAACCAGCCTAACTACCAGCTCTTGCTGCTTGAAAGTCCTGGACTTTCAGTTTCTGTTTCTCAGCAGACTAACATGTGCAAAGACAGACACTGGGACTGGGTTTGTTCTGTGCTTATGTGGTGGTGGACCTGGGCCAAGCATCGTCGTATGGCCAGAATCCATCTTCTGACAATGGCCAGTGCCAGCTGCCCCAGAGAGAATGAACAGAACAGGGAATCATCGAGTGATCCCTCTCCTGTCATCCATACCCAGCTTCTAACAAACAGAGGCTAGAGACACCATTCCTGCCCATTCTGGCTAATAGCCATTGATGGACCTAACCTCACATGAACTTATCTAGCTCATTTTTGAACTTCCTGTTATAATCTTGGTCTTCACTACATCCCCTGGCAAGGAGTTCCACAGGTTGACTGTGCAGTGTATGAAGAGTAGATAAACATCTATATAACCTGCTCTTAAATATATCTAATAATGGAGATAACCACCCTGACAGGTAGGAAGTTTTTCCTAATGTCCAACCTAAACCACCCTTGCTGCAGTTTAAGCTCATTGCTTCTTGTCCTGTCATCAAAGGCCAAGGAGAACAATTTTTCTCTCTCCTCCTTGTGACACCCTGTTGGATCCACATAGACAGGACAAAGGGCGGGGG